CACTTCTCTTAACATTTTAAGTGATTTTAATCGGTTATTTCGAAGCTTTATCGGTTAAAACACTGACATAAGGTTTTCAAAACTTTCTTTAATGAAAACAACCGGTTATTTCGAAATTATATCAGTTAAAAACTTGTTTAAGAAAGTTTTTTTTAAAATACTTTGTTTTTAACTGCTTAAACGTTTTTAGAGGCATTTTGCAAAATCTTTTAAGTGAAGAAACCTCATGCAGCAGAAAAGATAAAAATGATTATACCTAAGCATAGCTGCGGATACACTAATCCCTCTACTCTTTTATCTAAGTGACTGTTGACCGCTACAAAGTTGACTTTGACTTTATCTTTGACTTCATCAAATCAACAAGATCTTTGCCAGAGTATTTCAATAAGATCTTCATCACTTTCACTAATTTGCTTAATCTAGGCCGACGTACATCATAGTACCACCTGCTGCTACATCAAATAGAATCTTAATCTCAGGTTTAATTCCATTGATGAAGAAATTAAGTTGCGCGGTATCCTCAAACCCATGGTTTGGACACTTCCTTAGTAAGGACTTAAACCTCTCCCAGGCTTCACAGAATGGTTTGTCTATCCCTTGACGGAAAGTGGTTATTTTCGATTTAGCCTTGATATACTTGGAAGACGAATAAAATCTATTAATGAACTTGTCCTCCACATCACTCCAACTTGTTGAAACATACAAGGATATGAATATTGAACATACAAGGATATGAAGCTTGTAGATTTTGATGATGATACAAGATTAAATGACTTAAAGATTTGAAGACTTATAATGTTATGTAATAACTCTGTTTTTATGTTTTTGAGTCTGTAATATTAGAGTCCAAGATAGCTAGCACATAGTCCACTCTTTAAAGGTTCTAAAAACTCATTTTTATCTAAAACATACTGGATTAATCGATTAAATGGCAGGATAATCGATTATTACAGAGAGAAAAACCATTTTCAGCATCTGCTCTCTGGAATAATCGATTAAACCTCCTGTTAATCGATTAAATGGGTTGTTAATCGATTAAATGCCCAGTTAATCGATTAAACTGAGCTGTTTTGGGTTCCCTACAATTTTGGCACTGGAATAATCGATTAACACTCAAGATAATCGATTACTTCAGTCAGATATGTGTTTTGAAATTCAAAATTGGACCAAGTTTCGAAAACCCTATTCCCAATTCATCTATTTTCGAAAATCCCCAATTCCCAAACCCTAATCTCTCTACTTAAGGTTCTCTAAGGCTCTCTACAAAGTGAATAACCTTTTTCAAACAAAAGTTAAGAGTTGTGACTGCCAGAGAACTGTTTGTTGGAGGAAAAATGGGCTTTTGAAACCTAGTGTGGGCTAGAAGTGATAAGAATCACTGAGTGGATTTTCTTAGTGGATTGTGTGTTGTGTCATCTCTAGGGAAAGTTGTTCTTTATCCTTTGTGGGATTCAAAGGAGGTGTTCATCTCTTGTGTGACTCAAGAGAGGTGTATTCTTTACCTTATCTTTTCATTTGTAATCTGATTGTATAACTGTGATTATAGTGATAGCATTAATCCTCTGTTTGAGTGATTAGCAACTGGACGTAGGGTCTTTTGATCCGAACCAGTATAAATCGACTGTGTAATACTCTATTCTTGCTCTATTTACTTTACACAGTAATTTAATCGGTGAAATTTGGAGAAAATTTTAAAACCCTAATTTTTGTTTAAGAAACCAATTCACCCCCCTCTTGGTTTTTGTCTGTAAACACAAACATTTCGCTGCGTGATTCTAACACAACTTGTTAAACTTTGATTAGGGTGAGATTGCAGCCAAACTTTTGCTTTTCTAGTTAGAGAGCATGGGAACAACCTCAAATAAATTGCTTCTTCATCACCTTGGGGAATACCCATAGTGCCACACAACTCATAGAAATTTGATAAGTGAGAATATGGATCTTCGTGATCAAGTCTAGCGAACTATTGTGAGCTCACTAGACTGAGAAAAGCAGGCTTCATTTCCATGACTCTTGAGGTATTCGGGGCTGCGATACTAGAGAAATGCCTTGGACCCTGCTGTTGAGCATAGTCTCCCAATATTTTTCTAGGTGGTACAACTTGTCTATCATTATTATGAATATTGTCCCCTTTTTTAGCCATTTGTGCTCCTTCCGGTTGGTTAGAGGAAGATGAGGAAGGAGGTAACAAAAAATTTTGTTGTCATCTTTGGAGCACCTTCAACTGTCTGCACCTTCTTGTGTTACCACGATTCCTCCTTGCTATCTTTTCAATTTCTGGATAAAAAATGAGGTCTTCAGCTGGAGTCTTTCCTCGCATGCAAGTTCAACTGCACTACACAGATGGGTGAGTCCACAAACACACAACTATATATGTATAAAATTTAATAATATGTACATCTGTTCACAATATCTCAAAAGCGAAATCACTTAGTATGCCAAATCCCCGACAACGGCACTAGAAACTTGTTGTATTTTTCACTGATGGATTTAAATTATCCGACAAGTGTACCAAGTTTCAATGTAGTAAAGAGTTATCGTCCACAGGGATTTGTGACTTAGTGATATTGAAAAATGAGATATGATTATCATCATGGATCGAAAGTATGATTTGAGACAAACAACTAAAAATAAGCGCAATATTTAGTATAACGTAAAGTGAATATAAATTAAACGGATCAGATTACATGCACTTGCTTCCAGCCCTATTTCCCAGCCATATAATTTCAATTTTTACAGTTTCACTCTCAGTATGTAACTTAGCCCGATTCCTCGAAACCAAGTCCTAGGGTGTTAACCTTGAACGTGATTCCTCAACGGTTCGAAACCAACACTTTACCTTGAAAGTGATGAAGATCTTATTGAATTACTTTAGCAAAGATCTTGTTGATTTGATGAAGACAAAAATGAAGTCAAAGGCTACTTTGTGGCAGTCAAAGGTCACTTAGATAAAAGAGTAGAGGGATTAGTGAGTCTGCATCTTTTGCTTAGGTATAATCATTTTTATCTTTCTACTGCATGGGGTTTCTTCATTTAAAAGATTTTCCAAAATGCCTCTAAAAATGTTTTAACGGTAAAAAAAAAAGTATTTTGTTAAAAAGGTTTTTAATCAACTATTTTAACTAATAACTTACAAGCTTTATCAACTAAAATGTTCTTAACACTTTTGTAACAGGTTTTTTTAACTGATATGTTTTCGAAATAATCGATTGTTTTCATTAAAGGAAGTTTTGAAAACCTTCTGTCAGTATTTTAACTGATATAGTTTCGAAATAACCGATTAAAATCACTTTAAATGATCAGGGAAGTGTTCTGGCAGTATTTTAATCGATACAACTTCGTTTCAATCGATTAAAACCACTTGGAGTAGCAGATGACCGATCAGAATGGGTTTATGATCGATCAAAACCAACATATGATCGATCGAGTGTGTTTATGATCGATCAGAATATTTTCAATCGATTAAACTGCGTTTCAATCGATTAAAAAAACTTAAGAAAATTTCTGTCAAGCGTTTTAATCGATTAAAACAGATTTTTATCAGTTAAAATCACTTAGAAAAGTTTATCAGAATATTTTGCAGTATTTTAATCGATTGAAAGACGAAACAATTGATTAAAACAAATTAGAAGATTTTTTACAAAGAGTTTTAATTGATATAAACGTTGTCGTATCAGTTAAAACAAATCTGGAAAATAATCAAGAACGTTTTAATAGATTAAAAGAAGTTTTAACAGATTAAAACAAGACTTTTAATAGATTAAAAGATTATTTTAACAGATTAATTAAACCAGCAATTTTGAAAATCTTCTATATAAACAGAGTTGTTTAACCTTTTTTAAAACACATCTTTAAGCAATCAAACAAGCAATCATAAGTGCTACTTTCAAGAAAGAATTACGCCAGCTTTTGTGAAGTTCATTGAAGTTCTTTCTTTAGGAAAAATTGCATTCTTTTGGAGAAGAAACACATACTGCAGAACTGCATATAACTGGTTTGAGCGTTCTTAGTTTCTTCTACTTGTTTCTTTACTTTCTTTTACTGTATTGTGGGTGCCTGGAATTGTGGGCACTGGTTTCTGTAGCTGGAATTTGGCTGCAGGGTTGGTCAAGAACTGGAATTTGGTTCTTGGTGTAAGGTTTAGGTGCAGGAGTACTGGAATTGTGGTTCTTGTGGTAGATTGAGTATGAGATTAAGGTTATAATCTGTAAAACATTCAATCTAGTGGAACCCAGCTGGAATTTGGCTGGAAACTGGACGTAGCCCTGGGATTGGGTGAACCAGTATAAACCTTGGTGATATCTTTCTAAACCTTTCTCTTCTTTAATTCTGTGACTGCATTTATTTTTTATTGTTTGCTGTGTAATTCAAGAATTGGTCAGATTTCTTAATCTTTGAAATAGATAATCTGTTAATTGCGAAAAACTTTCAAAGATCAATTCACCCCCCCTCTTGATCTCAGCCTACATTTCTAACATACCTTATGAACAAATCTTGAGATTAACATGATTAACAAACACACTTCTATTCTTGGAGAGGTTGTCTGTTAAGTATTTAATCCAGTTCCGGTTAATGAAAACATTTTCCAACGAATCAAAAACCTCGAATCTTAAATCGGTTGATCATTCTGATGAAAGCATTAAGAATAGAACCAAACATAACTGCACCAAATGAAAATAAATAGTGAGAAATGGTTTGAAAGTAGTTACATGTACTCCAACCCAAAGAGTTTTAGCCCCTCATGGAGGAACCCATTACAAAACAAGAGAAGAAGGAAAAGAAATTACAACAAAAACTTGTTGGATTCAAGTGGATCTACGTTCCCACGAGCTCCTTTAGGCGTGAATGGTCTCCTCTTTATTTTTCCCCGTCCGTCTATATCCCCCCTTTCTCTTTTCTTTTAATTCTTAAATAGATATTAGGTCTAAAGAGAGGAAAATTCGTTGGGCGCTCCTGTAATGCGCTGGGCGGATCCTTAAAATCATTAGAGACCCTCTCACTGTCCAATCCGCTGGGCGCATCTCAGAAGGCGTTAGGCGGATTTTGGCTCTTGGTGGACCTTCTCTCGATTGCAAATCCGTTGAGTGCGACTTTTCCAACGCTGGGAGGATTCTTCTCGCCTCAAATCCGCTGGGTGCAGGTAGTGTGCGCTGGGCGGATTTTCTTCTCCCAATATTTCTTTTTCTCTTCAAATCCTGAATCAAAGAATAACTTGGGATAATAGTTACTTGATAATATCTTCTCATGATTTTTATACTCTTTAAGGTTAAATATACAACAAAAAGATGCAAATGTTGTCTAATAAAGGTGAGTTTCTCAATGAAATTTATACTCAATTAGCTCCCTAACAATCACTACGAATAAACTCCTAAACAAATAATAACAATCAATTAAACATTCATATAATTATAAGAGAAAATACACAATATATACATTACCTTGGTTCGTGTTGAGAGTGACATCACCAAACATCTTGGCCAAACCAAAAATGTGGTGCTTGCTTGCCCCACTAGTTGAATCTCTTCATTAGGAAAGTCATTGGATCATCAACATCATGAACTTCATCAATTATTACCGACGTCCAATCTACCTATAAAAGAACACATGGATGGTTAAGCCACCCTAAAAAACTCAACCAACAGCCACCAGACGCGGGAGGTCATCTTCAACATATAACTCACATTGTTGTGGTGCATCATTGTGAGTATATTCCCCTAAGGGATCTACAACAGTAGCACCAATATCACGTATCATATCTTCTAAATTATCATCCATCCCTTCTTCAAAATTTTCTATTGTTGACATATTTAGGAAGTCAAGTATTTCTCCATACCATGTTCATATTGTATAACTTTTAACAATACCATAGACAAGTGATCACGTATATCCCCAAGTTCATGACAAATTTGATTTAAACAATGAACGCATTAACAATAATATGTCCCTTTGATAGGTTTTCCATTTTCACAAACAAATTTCAAAAATCCTCAACTCTTTTTTCGTATTCTTCATTAATACGATGTGCATTCATCAAACTCCAATCCATACCTACGTGTTATAAATTTTCGTCACTCCTAGATATTCAAAAACAAATTCATATTTAAAAAAAAATAATATACAAACAAAAAAAATGTGGGGTTCAAACAACTAAATAGTGAAAACATAAAAATATAGTGTATAAACCGTAAATGCACTTAAACGAATAAATGGATAATTACAAACTACAATAGTTCAATATCAATAACAATCCAATGGAGATATTCATGCAATAATGTGACTGAGATCCCCATAAACAATCACTGTTTTAATTTGAATATAAAGAAGAAACATAAAACATTAACCTCAAATATACAAAAAAAATGCTCTAATTCAATCGAGGAGAAACATCAATCATCACAGACGGGATACAATGTAGATATTTTCGTCGTTCACTGTGGTAAAAATGTATTCTGGGAGGAGCTAGAATGGTCGTTGTTATCGTCGCCACTCAAAAACCCTTGCATGCAAGAGAAAGAAGAAGCCCTAAGTGATATTAAAACACGACTTTCACGTCAAACCTCGTAGGGGACGATGTAAAAGTCACTTTTTACATTTGTTAGAGGGCCACCTGATATAAAAGACAGCTTTTACATCGACTTCTGTGAGGTCTAACGTAAAAGTTATTCTCTTATTTACAAAAATGTCATCGTATTTTTTTTAAGTCAATTATTTTTTAGTCCAACAAAAATTGGATGATGTAAAAAGTCTTTTCTACATTAGTGTCTTCCTTTACTCTGAACGATGTCAGAGGCAAATTCAAAACAACAATGACACTGGTAGCTCGCACTCTCAGGAGGCAACTCATGCAGCTTGATCACACATACTTTAACCTGCACAAAACGCTTTGTCGTCCTAGTAGTTGTGAAGACCGTCACTTTCATTTCCACTAGTTTTCTTTGGCAATCGTAATGGTTAGAGCGTAATGTTGACCAAAATGCAATTAAGTCATTGAAATAGACCAACATTGGATTTCTAATTGTGAAATTGGTCATACTTAGTGATCATAATATTAACTAGGGATCAAACCATTTGAATAGGTTTTGTTCTTAACTGGTTTTAGAGTGAACGTTCAATTTGATTTTTATTATACATATGTTTCTAGACAAGCAAATAATGTTTAACTTTTTTTGGTGTGAGTGACAGAACCATTGACAACCTTAAACATTCTCTTGAAAATTCCATATTTATGGATTCAATTCTGGTGTGGAGGAAGAGTAGGAGATAATAGAAGAGAAAGAGGAATAGGAGAAGGAAGAAGGGGAGAAAGAGAAAGAGTAGGAAGACAAGAAAGAGCGGAAACAAGAAGAAGCTAGAAGAGAGAAAAAAAAGAAGGAGAAAAGAAGAAGAAGAAAAAATTAGTGATATAACCCATATTTTGGTTTATTTCAAATTTATACCATTCAATACAAATATTTCCGTGACTCTTCAAAAATCTTTAATTATTTTTATATATAAAAAATAGTACTCATATTTAACAAAAGATAATATTCCTAATGAGACTCATATAATAATTATAATATTAGTAAGACAATTTTTTTTTTCACAATTGTTATTTTAGTTACTTTAAAACAACATTAAAAACATTTTTTCAATTACAAAAATTATATCATACACAAGAAGTTAAAAATAAAAATTTAGAGAAAGCCTGGTGATAGAACTTTCATAAATTGGCTTATATATAAGCTTATTTTACTCTGTAGAGAAACTAACGATAGGATTCTGTTGTCCAAACACAACGAAGTCCAGCAACATCGCCATTCTCCTCGCCGCAACCAGGCCTATCTTAATCCACAATTCCATTAAAATTTAAACGAAAAATAAAAAGCGCCCAACTGTTTTGTTTTTGTTACTTTATTTATCATCATCATCATAACATCAAAATCAAGGGTGAGAAAGTGTGACCAAGTGAATGTAATGCAGTGATGCTTACGGAGATCGTAGAAACGTGAGGGGATAAGTTTGGGACGGAGAATGATCAGCAAGGGGCCAGAGCTTGAAACAGTGGCGAAGTTCGACGGAGAATGGTCGGAGCAGAGATAACGAGAGCCTGCGAGAAGTCATCACGAGAGCACGCAGAGAGACAAGGGAGAAGCCCTTAGCTAGGGTTTATGCCTTAAAAAATTGAGTATTAATCATAGAATCTTATTTATTAATATTATATTTATAAAATGATTGATTTAAAATAAAAATAATTAAAATTTGTTATTTTATTAATAAATAAAGTTATTAAATGAATATTTATTAATAATGACTTATTCTATTTCAAGAAACAACTGAAAAATATAACAATATTTAACTTTTACAATTTCGGAAATAATGTAACAATACAGTTTTTGTTTGCAAATTTTAGTGACTCTTAATTTGAGGGTGGATTGAAGTTATAAATAGAGTCATTAATTTTCAGCTGGAAGGTAAATTATTATAGACATATTTAAAGGTAATAAATAATATATATATATATATATATATATATATATATATATAAATTTTTAGATTTCTTAAATTTTAGCAAATGAAATATTTAATTTATAAGTACAAAATTTAAATTTACTTATAAATTAATATTTGTAAATATTTAAAATTATATATATAATAATAATAAAGATTGATAAGGTTAATGGATAATTAATGATAATTTATAATATTTCATTTTGGATGTCCTGTATGTAGTTAAAATCTTACTCGAAAAAAATCCCTTAATACATCATTATTTAATTATTTAATGTATTTTTAAAATATATTCATTTTTATTCGTCAGGTAAATTATTATAATTAAGACAACAAAGCCAATCTTATGAAGTAAAAAGTTATCCTTCATAAATATTTTTGTAAAAAGACAGGTCAAATTTCTCAAAAACAAATTTTTCTAGATTTTTATATCATAATTCTTCTGGAAAAACTATATTTTCTTTCATCTTACTTAATATATCTTCCTTTTAATAGAAGGTAATGAATATCTTTATATAAGATCATTGATCTAAGTTTTCTTAAAGATAAACCACAAGTTTCTCATAATATTAATGATATGGCTAAATTCTTTTTGCATAATTTGATAATTCTACTTTTATGATTTGTTTTACTTATTATCATAAAATTGCAATATTACCACTTATCAACAAAAGAAAGAGAAAAATAAAATAAAAGTGTTATAGAGTTATCATCATTTATATTTAAAGAATAGTAAAATATGATAGGGAGAAAAAAGTGAAGCAAAAGTGAGTACATGTAAAGAGTAGAAAGAGAAAATAAAATAAAATTTTAAATAATATTTAAAATAAATTAATTATACAAAAATTATGAACATATTTATGCTTTAATGTCTATGTTTTTACTAATTTGAATTAAAAAAATTCATTCACGAAGATAATGAAAGACATGTTTTACTTTAATCAAATATCTTATTATAGATTAAAAAACTATATTTTGCTATAAATTTACAAAAATTTGTCATGTCTGAAGGTTAGTTTAGTTAATAAAAAATATCAATGCTCTTTTAACATTAATGGTACTTCAATGCCAAAAGAAAAATTCATTTTCTCTTGAAGTCGATCATATATTTATTTATTTATTTATATAAAACCTTTAAAGTAACTATGTTACCTAAATACTTCACATTAACTTAATTTTGTATATTAAAACCAACATATGGGAGAGAATTTAAGAAGAAAATAAGTGGTATTATAAAAATATATTTATTTAAATATTAAAAATTTTAATGCAAAAAAAGATCCTTAGTCTCAAAAATTTTCTATAAAATAATCAATTGGTTTTGCAAGTTGTTTTAGGAGCATCCATAACAATTATTCTGTTTTTATTTCATTCTTTTAAAACACAATACTCACACAACTATACCACATACATCTTAATTTCTTAAATCCACAGTTTCTTAAATCCACAATGAACTTTTTCAACTGGATTGAATAATCATATTTAGAATTTGGATTATTAGACAAATTAAATCCTTAAAGGAGTTTTATATAAATATCATACTCAAAAGAACTATACAAATAGGTTGTAACAATGCTATGTACAAATAAATTAATAAAATATAAGTATTTGTATAAGTTACAGGTAATTTAAAAATAATATTGGTTATGGTGAAAAATTCTTAAATAATCAATTGTGTTTTATATCTTATAATTTTATCATTTTCATTTCTCTTTTGGACAAAAAGTCATCTATATCTAATTGTTTAACGCCTTCATGTGCATGAACAGTAAGTCCAAAACTCTTTAACTTATCAAAGAGTTTAATTTTCTTTTATTTCATCTTTCCATCTTATCCAATCATTTCTTTGTCTACAATCTTTAATGGACTTTAATTTTTTATTTTCAACAACATTTATAACATTTAGCATTATACTATATGAAGAAAAATGTCATTGATATTTACTTCACTTTGATTTTATATTATTTTTCTCATGACATAATTAATTAAGATATCTTAATTTTGTAATAATTTCAAATACCTAAATTCTTTTAGAACTAATGTATTAACTATGTCAAATGAATGTTTCCATCCTTTTGTTCATCTTGTTTTTTAGATGAAGATTCTTACTCTTTGGAATCATTGAATCACCACACTTGTGTGATGTTTAAGACCCATTTGTAGAATTAGAATATCTAATTGAAACATTTTTTTTATAATTGGAATATTAATACATATGACTAAGTCACTATATTTTTTTGTTAGTAAATACATTTGTTATTCGATTGACTAAGCTTTATAAATAAAATCTTTTGTAAGGATTAACATGAGATAAGGATAATTCATTCCAATTCCAACTAATATATTTTTCCAACTATTTATTCTCTCTTTAATGTTGGAAACATTCATTTATCAAACTCATAATTGACAAATCGAGTCATGAAAGAACTTTTGGCCAACATGGTTCAAAATAATTTATTACTAATGGATTTTATATCAAACATATATTACCGGTCTTTTATAAGAAACTATTGAAATTCACTTAAGGTTGTAATTATAACATACATAACACACCAACAATTTCTTAAATAGGAAATATTTGGTTGTTGACCCAAAATCAATTATAAAAAGGGAGTCTAAGATAACTTGTTTGATGCAAATTTATACTTCACCATATATATTTGCATAACTTGAAACAATGATAGAAAGTTTCAATCTCGTGAGTAATGATTTTACAATCAACTCTAAGCTTTATATGATTTTACAAGTTTATTTTGTGTATGAACATAAATTAAAAAATGTCCAATGTTGATTTCAATTGACAAACAATATTCATTAAAAGTATGAGATGTAACATCATGATCTAAGAATCTTTTCTTAATTTATAAATGAGTTATTATCAAATTAATTGAGTTAAAAACTTCATAAATAGTTTGAGTGTGAATAGATAAAAAAATTGTTGATACATAAGGATTGTGGATGAAGAAGGAATAGCATTTACTTTTTGATGATGTCTAGGATATATAAGTAGTTAGTGTGGGTAGTTTGTATAAAGCGAAATAATCTAATATTTGAAAGTAAAAATAATCAATTATGTAAAAACTAAATCTGCATTAATTGATTATATAAGTATTTCACTACAAGAAAAAACACTATTAGCGACCGAAAAAATCGGTCGCTAATGGCAAAAAATCGGTCGCTATTCAGTTAGCGACCGAAATTGGTCGTCGTAAAAGGTCAAGTTGCTAATTTGTTAGCGACCGATTTACATTTCGGTCGCAAAATAGCGACCAGATAAGGTGGTCGCTAAGGTGGTCGCTAAATAATTTGGTTACTTATTCCTTAAAGACCAAAATAGCGACCAAAATTAATATAATAAATCGGTCGCTAAATCGGTGGTAAAGTTTAAAAAAATAGCGACCGATATATTCGGTCGCTAATATATTAATTAAATTATTTAAATAATAATTAAAATAGGTCTCTAAATCGATCGCAAAAATAGCGACAAAAATTAATATATTAAATCGGTCGCTAAATTGGAGGCAAAGTTAAAAATAATAGCGACCAGATATAATCGGTTGCTAATACATTAATTGAATTATTTAAATAATAATTTAAATCGGTCGCTAAATCGATCATAAAAATAGTCACGGAATAATTTTGGTCGCTAAATTTCAATTGTATATTATAATATATTTGTAGCGACCAATAATCCGGTTGCTAATCTAACCAAATCTGAAAATTTTTGTTTAAAATTTTGTATATCCAAATTTGCAAAATTTGTACTTGCTTAATTGATCCAAATAGAACACAAATGAAAACTTAAGAACTAAAGTCAAATTATTCAAATCATAATAAGAACAATTCAAAGTCATAACAGAAATAAAATGTTTCTAAACAACTACTCAAGATTCAAAGTCTTAATATGATAAAATTGGAAATGATACACTCCTTCTCTAAATTCATCTGTTAGATGTTTGTTACCATCCAATCTTTGATACATCCACATTCTACCAACGGGGATCTCCATTCTTGCAAATTAACTACAACAATAAGCATAAGTGGAACTACATTATTCACTTTATGTGATGTAGTACTTATGTTTTTCTAATACATTTTTCCAAGGTATTTATCCAGTACTTATGCAGTACTTATGATACAGACCACCAAATAATTGTGTAAGTAAACCCAATAATTATGAAATTTATTTTCACTAAGATCCAACAGATAATTAAAACAAATTAAAAATGGTTAACCTGAGGGCGTATAGTCTCAACAAGTTCCCAAATTGGTCTGTCAAGCACCACCAAATCCGCAGTAAGAGGGATCCAAGAACCTATCTACTTCACAAATCCACCTACAACAAACGATAAAGAAATTCTGTAAAAATTATCTCTCTTATATTATTCACAATGCAAGAGGATAACAGTATATAGTGCCACCTTTCTTAGGCCAAACAAGCCAAACCTTGGTTGAATATACATTCAAGCACATGTTTTACATATAGTCTCACGTACATAAGAGAACAAAAATGCTTGATGAAATCACATAGAAATGTTTGTTTAAATACAAATATATATATATATATATATATATATATATATATATATATATATATATATTAGGAATCATAT